TTGGCATAAGCTCTTCTTTCTTCAGTCTCTTATACACCCAAATTTCTTCAGTCTCTTATATGCCCAAAGTAGCAAGGAAGACATAAATCCAAATGCTAAATGGGAAAAATATTTTTTAAAATAATACTACCACTCCTTATCATGAAAAAAACTTACAAGTGTTTACATACAGGTTCTTAAAGCACTCTAATTCCAGTACCTCCAGCGTGGTAAAGAGGAGGGATACAACACCAGATGCAAGGCAGTAAGATGGAGCGAGTCAGAGGCCTGTGCAATTTGCTCTCATTATACCTGATGTATAATAATGAAAAAATTATATTGTGGCATTAAATAGTGCGAACAGCCCAACAACAGAGCACAGAAAGAAACTTTTTTTTTTGTGGTGTCAGTATGATGCCACAAAAGTCAGGTGGTGCATTAACCTGAGATGGCATTAATAGAACAAGGTGAAAATTGATTGATGTGTATACACCAGAAATTATTACAGAAATAGAATACAAATCATACAAACCCTTAAACTTCAGGGGCTATACCCATTAGCTTCCTTGGCTTTATTCCAGAAACTAATTTGGCTCATGTCCTGTAAAGAAGGCATTTGCACTGGCATACTGTCTTTGTATATACTTGAGGATTGACTCTGCTTGCAGTCATTTGTCAAAAGCAGCAGAACCAGCTGAATGTAAATGTCCCAGCAGAGAAATCCACAAATTTCAACAGTTAAAAACAGTTTCCCGTGTACAAATGGTTCAGGACAGAGTTCAAGTCGCTCATATATTTAGAATACCAGGGAAAGCATTAGAATCAAGATCTGTCTTACTGGGGAAATTCTCCATCCTCAAAAATTCTGCTGAGCTGATCTCCTTGAAGGTGACCACTGTACAGGTCAGGCAAAGGCCTCTTCCATTCTTGTTTGGCACAACTTGGCTGTCTTGATAAATCCCCAATAACTTTAGCAAAGCTAAAGCTCTGATCCATAGGAAATGACTGAGAAACATAACCAACTATTCATATCCAAAGCTGCAGCTTCATTGGTAGTTGAAGATAACCCAAAAGTAAGCTGCTGACAAGGGGCAGAAAGAAGGGTACAAGAGATGGACTTCTTTAGCAACAGCCCACAAGTAGAATAGCTTAAATAGATTAACAAGGAAAAAAACTTCATATATCAGAAGAGAAGAGACTTTTTTTTCTGACAAGCCAATGCTGAGGACCTGCTTTCAGCTCACTGTGACTCTCCCTCCTTTTCCTTGGGTGACATGAGGCCCTGATTCAAATTCTGAGCACAGGATGATTTCTATGCAGAGCAACTTAGAAATAAGTTCTGTGCTGACTTATGCTTATCTGTGTGACTAAAGTCTTCCTTTCTTTGCCAAGGTAATAAGCCCTTCCCCTAATCTTTCCTGCAGCAGAGTAAATATTAGATGTAATACAGCAGATCTGGTGGCAGTTTTAGCAGAAAGGTGCTGGTGTCATATCATGTAGGATTGTGCACATAAATGGCACCTTTTGAAAAATCCACGGATTTACAAGGTTTAAAAAAACCGTGTAGCACCAGTGACATCTGCAGGAAAAAGCTGGTTGAAACAGCGACAGGAAAAAATGCCAAAATGAGGCTTCTGTGAGAAGCTATTGTAAGGAAAGCCAGCAGATGTACCCACAGTGCCTGCCTTCCAGGCATATTTAAACCTACCTGGGCATATTTAAGATAAAAACTTTGGACAGAGTTTTTTAGCAAGGAGAGAAAGTAAATAAACAAGTTTACACAAGTGAAAATCAGAGCACTGTGCCAATTTTTAAAGGCAAGAAAGTTTGATCCAGATTGAAGTATAGTAGCCAGATCCTGAAAAAAAAAGGAGAGAGGGTGAAAATCTTGAGAGGACAATACCTAGTGATCACCAGTGATACACAAAATAGTCTGCTTTTTCAACTTCCTTGTTTGCATAGTAGAAAAATTGAATTTCACCTTCATCTTCTCTCATTACATGATGCAGTTCCACTTTCACCACACAAAATTCAGCCACTCAACTTTATGCCAGTTTACCCTATTTATACTAGGAAAGCTGTTTCTAATGCATTAACACTGCTGCTAAAACATTGTGTTTAAAATAAATGTATGCAAGTTGAAAACAAGAAAAGGAAAAAAATTGATTTTTCTTCTCTGGATTAATTGCTTGTGTTTCATGGCTTAAAATGTCTTTTATGTTTTGTGAAAAAGCTGTGCCAATATGACTGGAAGACTGTTGAGCAAGGCACAGAGAAATATGTGCCAGAGCAGATCTATCAACACTACAACAGTATGGAGGAACATGAACTGCATCTTTCGAGATGGAAAACCTGGTAATACAGGAAATACAAGAATTGTGGTGAGTCTGCAAGGAAAAAGAATGCAGCATTGAGGAGGCAGAATGAGGTATTTCACTGCCCATATCTGATAAAAGTGAAGGGAAGATTGATATAATGATAAAGTAGTAGGATAGCACTGGTAAAAAAAAACTGTAAAGAGTGGGATCTGGAAATTTTTGGAGAGGAAGAAGGCAAGAGATCCTTTGCAGGCAGAACTGAGAACCTCCTGGGCAGTCCTTGATCAGATGGGTTTTGACCCACTGGTGTGATTTTTTTCTGAGAGATGAGTGATGTCACACACAATGCTACTGTGGATGGCTTCAGTTCCCCAGGTATGGCTGGGGCAGAGCATGACAAAACATGAGGTGACAAGCTGGGTCCAAGGCCAGTCTCAGCAGTCCAGTTAAGGCCTCAAAAATGCAGAAGACAGTGCTCAGAGCAGCCTACAAGCACTCATGTATCTCAGGAGAGGACCACTCCAGTTTAGTGATGCTCTTAAGCTCAAGGCTAATGCAAGGAATGGAGGTCCAAGGGAGGTCATGTCATGGCAATTAAGTCCTATTGGGTGCCCACAAGGCCCACACACAAATAGAGTAAGACTTAATTGCTCTTAGCTTTCTCAGCAACAACTCCTGCATGAGTTCTTTTTGTTAAAGCCCAAATAAGATCTTTTCCATGAAGGACTAAGGTGTTGTTCACTAACGAAACTAAAAAGCCACCTCTCCAAGGTCCAGAAAAATTCCTCCTAAAAAGCATGTCACTGTATTTTATCCAACTTTAGATTTTGGTCTTAGGTGCATATCTGAATTTTGGTTTGGTTTATGGTTCTATCAGTTCAAGGGAAATCTGCATCTGGCAGTGGTATCAGATTTTCCCTCTAACCATCAGCCTTACTGATGTGTTCATCAGTGTGGATCCCAAGCCATGGCTTGCAGGACCTGCACTGACCATAGGCTCAGAGCAGAGGTAAGAAGAATCTCATGCCATCAGCATGAAAGCATTCCTTAGGTCAGTGATGCAGTTTACTTGTGCAATTCCCACAAGGACTCACTGTCCACAAGAGTCTTCTTGGTCTAAACCCTTCCCTTGACAATTCCAAGTGTTTCCTGGATGAAAGGTAAGGGGTACAATGTGCAGAGAACTTGTGAGACTCCCCTGGAGTTCAGTATCCAGCTCTGGGGTCCCCAGCATAAGAAGGATATTGACCTGTTGAAGCAGGTCCAGAGGAGAGATACAAAGATGATCAAGAACTGGAACACCTTTCCTATGAAGACAGGCTGAGTGAGTTTGGGTTGTTCAGCCTGGAGAAGGCTGTTCAGCTCCAGGGAGATCTTGAAACAGCAATCCAGTACCTAAACAAGGCTACAAGAGAGCTGGAGAATGACTTTTTATAATGGCATGTGCTGATAGGACAAGAGGCAATGGCTTTAAATTGAAAGAGGGCAAGTTTAGATTAGATATTAGGAAGAAAATCAAGGGTGGTGAAGTATTGACACATGTTGTCTGGAAAAGTAGTGGATTCACCATCCCTAGAAAAGTTCAAGGCCAGGTTGGATGGGGCTTTGAGCAACCCGGTCTAGTGGAAGGTATCCCTGCCCAGGTACAAATGATCTTAAAGGTCCCTTCCAATCCAAACCATGGCTTCAATGCTATGATTCTGTGCCTTTCTCTGCTGGAAATAATACCTGCATCAGAAGAATAAAGAGACTAATTTAGCCGCTCAGCTAAACAAAGTCCGTTTTGCTTTCCCACCAGCTTCTGACTACTCTATCCTACTAACAATAGCTCAGGAAAAGTGAGGGAGATGAGACCAACTAGATTCACAACTTATTTCCCAGTACAGTTGCAAAGGCTGACAAAAATAAGTCAGAGGTACTACTGAAATGTCTGCTCCATGGCCTCTAAAACCAAGTTTACACCTAGAAGCACAGTCCCATTAGAGTGTCTATTCTGACAACTTCTAACATGTCAACTCAGCCCAAATGGAGACAGAATGAGGTGTTTCACTGCCCATCAGAGCACCTAAGTCTGTCTTCCATATCTTGTATCAACTAAGCACAATTTGCCTTTCCTTGGCTTTGCACAGGGCACTGCTGCAGAATTTATAAGGCCTCAGTCAGCTTAGAAATAAGTCTCTGTTGATGCCAGCTCTTGTGGCCTGTACCAAAGAGCAGTGGCAGAGATCAGGCTAGTATGAGAAGAAAGCAAAAGATGTGCGCAAGGAAGAGGAAGAACAGAAAAAAAAAAAAAACACATCATAGATATAAGATTATGTGTCCTTATCTACATATGAAAATAGCTAAATTTCAAAAATATCTTTTTGATAAGCTAACTAGAATGAAATATTTAACTCTGTATTGCTAACACAGTCAAAAATTATATCTTACAAACTGTAAGCAGGATTTGCTCTAAAAGCTGACACAGAAGGATCTGTTTGCACATGTTCAACACTACTGACTTTACAAGTTGCATTTTTAAAGAACGACAAAAACTTTGCAAGTGACTGGTACACGCTGCGCTTAAAGAAAACAGGTGGGTGTAGTGGCTCTTGTGTTTTATGTTCTGACATGCTTTGGAGATACACAAATGCTGACTTCTAGCAGTTGTTACAAGCCCAACTCACTGGCCAAAATCTTATAACAAATGCAAAAAAACAGGTCTTTAAAGTAGTTTGTATTGAATATTAGAGTTTTTACCTCATATGTGAGAGACAATACCTCTTACATTGCTGAATACACATGTAATTTGTATAAGTAGAAGAATACAAATTATCACATAGTATAGCAAAACATGTAACTGTGATTAAATGGTAGTTCAGCCTAGAACAACATTCAGAAGACTATAAAGTAAAATATACTAATATACTATATGAATATACACCAAAAAAGGCCCCAGAAGATAAAATGGACACCAAATACCTCTCACATTTCTTTAGTTTTCATTCTTCCATTTATTTCCTAGCCTTATATTTACTGACCATGAGATGAAAAGAAAGTATTTACATTTTAAAGTTACACCTGTTTATTTAGTAAGGAAGTAAATACCTGGTATGCCAGAGCCATGCAAGTAAATGTATGGAAACAGTATGGAAAGTGTGTATTGAATGAAGATCACCTCCAAACTCTCTCAGTTCTCATCACACATACTACAGGTGGCCATCCAGGCCAGCCATTTTCTTGTCTCATGCAGAAAAACAAACACGGCCTTACACAGTGTGTAAGAAATATACCCATTTATCACAACCTCCAGCTGAGGGCTTGTAACAGAAACAGAATTGGATTTTCCCTCCCAAGGAGTAAGAACAAATACTTCCCTTTCTATGATCTCTAAAAACCACATCTGAAGAAGGCTGTTTTCTTGCAGAATAGTTGGACATCCACAGAAATGCTTTTCACACCTGAATTCTCTACTTCTGCATCAGTGAGTGTTGCCCTTCTGCAGAGGACACATACATCCAAGTTTTTTAAAGTAGTTCCTATTTGCTTCTGACGGCCAAAAACCTTTAGTGAAAGAAGTAATCCTGCTATGTGCCTAGCAAAAAAAAAATCGTAACTTCATTGGATGTTTCATATGGGCAAAAATCAGGTTCTGAATGCAAATTGTTCAAAAGAAATAGAACAGAGAAGATAGCAACTTTAGTATACTATTGACCCTATGGGTAATATACAACCTTATTGTATTTTTAACTAGTATCACCTGTGAACACAAATGTAAGCGATACTGCAATTGAAGACAACATTTTCAGCAATCAGAATCAAGGTAATGTGGATAGACTACTAGGAAAAGTCAGACAGAGGCAATAGCCTTTAACTGACCAATTCAAATAGCTGGGAAAAGTACACAAACCCTGTTCATGCACATTTGTTTGCAGGAGGACATTTCACAGAAGCCTTATTTAGATTTTCCAACTAGTTTAATCTCCTGGAAAATACTAAATCTAATTTCATACAGTGGCTACTTACATCCCTCATCCAACTCCTCTTGGACCTTGTTTTTCTTCTTCCTTCTAAAAAGAACCTGATATGTTGCAAACTTTTTGTGACACATTATTTTCAGAAAAGCCATTCAAAATTTAACATGACAGAGAGCATAAAGAAATGGGTTCACAGAAGAATTGATCCATAAAAGCCAAAAGTTTGCTTCATACAGGAAGTTACGGACACAAGGTCCCTGAAAGGGCCCATGGATAATAATTAATAAAGAGTATGGGGCCCAGCAAATGGCAAACACACAGACAATTATGGCAAGGGACTTCGCTATTCTCTTGTCCCGCTGCAGTTTTGATCTGGTCTTTGCACAGAAAGAAACATAAAAGTCATTTTCTGGGGTTACAGTATTGTCTCTGGATGGAGATGAGCAGTCAGTTCCCAAAGACTCTTTTTTTGGTCTCATGGAAGAAGAAACACTGTCGTCTGTTTCTGATGAAGGAGATGATGCCCCTGGCCTCAGCAAGCCACAAAACCTCCAGGACAGGCTGCTGCTCCTCGGAGGCTCGCAGTCCTGCACGCTGCCACGCCGCTGGCGCCTCTGGATGTTGTGGAAGATGTGAACGTTGAAGTAGGTCACCAAGAGCAGGGGCACAAAGAACTCCAGGGTAGAAGCACACAGGAGGAAGTACCAGTTGTTCAAGAACTCAGTGTAGCACTGATCCACCACTACCACGCTGCGTCCAGCCATGTGCTCCCAAAATAGGATAGCTGGGCAGTACAAGAGGAAGGCAAAGAGCCAGATGGCCACCATCTTGATGGCAGGGTTGGATGTTATTCCCTGCTGGGCTCTGTTAGATACCTGTGAGGGAAAAAACCCATAAAAAGTTCAGACTTGTAGAGACCCATTTTGGGACTAAGAGAAGCAGCTGGAGATGAGCTCAAGAGGTGCTTGGTAATACAGAAATGTGGCTGTGCTGATCAGCTGATGCTAACCCAAGCACATTTACTTCATGGATGCTGAGAGTGCATAGGGTTGTCTTTCAACAAGTTAATGTCACTGTACCAGGGTCCAGGTCCAGGGGATGAAACGCAATCATCCATCAGTACCTAGTAATTCGGTATGCCTTTTTTGAGACCTGTGGTCTGAAGTGCTAGAGGAATTAGCACTTTATAGCTGTCGGGAGCATGACTCCTACTTACTGGAAACTGCACTGCTTTTTACAGCATTTTACAAATAACTGTATGCATCATGGTGGTCTACAGAGAAGGTGTCACATAGATTTAACCTATAAGAAAATTATTTGCTACACAATTCATATGGATGAAGGAATAGATACCTCACCTGCACTTCAGCCTTTAGCTGATTAAACTAAAAAAAAAATCACCCATTTTCTTCCTTCTACATCCACTCCAGGGCCAGTTTTTCCACTATATGTTGCAGAACATATAGATACAATGTGGCTCACATCCTGCTTCATCCCTTTCACAGGACGAATGTGTAATTCTGCAAGCTTAGACCTCCAATTGATAGCAAAAGTTTGAGTTAATGTCACTAGAAATATCATACATATGTCCATAGGTCTTAATTGCATTTCTATAGGTGCTCTGAATTTTGCAATTTGTAAATGCTGAGTCTTTGGCTTTCCAGCATAAGGCTTCTTACACACCAAAAATTTTGGTGTTTGGTTTCCAAGATTTTTCCTTAAAGAAAAATAAAGTAAAATAAGAAGGCAGTTATAGGAAGTTAAATTAATTACCAAATAAGACTGAAATTCTACTGCATGAAGTTTTGTTGACAGTCTCATGCACATAAAGAGCTGGAACCTTTAGTTCTCTGTGGCATTCCCTGACACTTGAGCTAACAGTGTGGCTGGTGAGGAAAGCTGGCCTCCACCCCTAGCATGGACCAAGACATAAAACTCACAACAAGTGTGTAGGTTTCTCTGCAGAAAGCAGAGACAGAATGTGTCTGAAGTTTGAGGTTCTGCTCCAGACACAAATAGGAGTTTATTGCTGCATATCTGCAGGTCATGATTGCAGTCTGCCTTTTGTTCCACTTTCTGCCTGTTTGCTTTTGCTCCTGGTCTTATCTAGAATCATTTTTGACCACATATCAGGTCTAGACACCTTCCCCAGGGCCCTTTATTTTACTGCCCTCCACTCTCTTTTATTTTCATGCCTGATTTTAGGTCCAAACCCCAATCCAGTTTACTCTGAATTTCCTCTTTCCCTGCCCCTTTATTACCAGACTGCTGTCTTACCCCTTTTACCCCCTAGACTGCTTTTCCTCAGGCAGTAACAGGATCACAGCTTGCAGCAGAAATTGTGAGAAAAGTCCTGGTTGACTGGCTCTGCAGTGAAGCATGTCCAGTGTAGAATACTCAACCCATCTGGCTGCAAAATATCTAATAATCGCCACATGCCAGTATATTTTTGAGGGGTATTATATTCATTAAATTTGGGCTTATACTCATCAACATGGCAAAGGCTGGTAAATATAACCATCCCAGAGAAGCTCCAAATAGGTTATTTACAGCTTTAGTAACTGGCAGGAAACAGTCATAGCTGATAAGAGCAATGTTAGATACTGAAGCTGTGCAGAAGAAATAGTCCATAACCAGCCAAAGCTTGCAGATGCCTCTTCCCAAGTGCCATTTTCTTGTCAGGCTGTAAGGGATATAGAGGGGCATGCAGAGCACACCTGTGAAAGCAACCACAAAGACACCATCGAGTTCATAGGGATGGCAAACTCCTGGAAGCAGAGAGACAGACTGTCTTGGTATTTGGATTAAAAAGTCAACAAATCTATTAAGGTGAATATGTAATTTATATACATAAGTTCCTAAATTCTCATGAAATCTGATGGTGACTTTCTGTGTCTTAGATCTGTGATTTATGTATGCTGATTGTTGAGAATAAGCTGAAAGTAATTCAGCAAAGAAAGAGTTACTGAAGAAGAAAATACAAGTCTAACCAACTTAGACTCTCTAAAGATATAAAATTAGTGCTGCAGCATATATGCACTCTGGTTGCATTCTGATAAGTAACCTCATAAATTTTATTTCTTCTATTCTTACATCTGTATTAGATTTTTTCCTCCAACACATCTGCAGATGTTGCCAATTGAAGTTATTCCTGTAAGATTGGTTAGAATTTGTAAGCTGAAGACAATACATTGAGCAGTCTGTGTGGTGTTCTACCAGAGATAGAGCAGACACAACAGAAGTATGAAACTCTCATTTTTAAATCTCATGCTTCTTCACTACCTGAGAATAACTCTAGAACTATTTGGGTTTGTTAATTTTTTTTTTTTTTTTGTCCAAAAGACCTTCCACTGAAGTACTTCACCAAGAAAATCGTGTTTGTGTTTTATTTTTAAGTGAACAACTTCTTCATTTTAATACTAACACTCCTTCATAAGTATGGTGCAATAGCTGATTCTACATTCCTGAAAATGCTGATCTACCAGAGACAAATAGAAAATTATATGCCACTTCAAGATCCATTTAAAACTCTCCAGATTATTCCTTTCTTGACATGTCCTCCAAGACCTTAGAAGTTACTAACTATACCAAAAGTGATGTGGTCCACTGACAGCAAAACTCTGGCAATGAGCTGACAGACTGTTATCAACAGGGAAATGCTCACAGCACTTTCAATACTGATGGCTTATTTTAACAGCATCACTTTAGTACTAAATACTCATTTTTCATAGTTGCTGATAACAGCTACTCTTCTCATGAACTTCAATGGGATCAATGTTTGGCACCATGTCAAAAAGTAATGACTGCTTCTAGCTATACATGTAACTACAGAGGCAAACCCCAGGTTTTAAGAATTGATGTTTGAAGCTATTCTTACTTTTACTAATTAGTGGATGCAAAAGACACGAGTCACATCCCTATAACTATTCTAGACACATAATAAATTAAAAAAAAAAAAAAAAACACAGCAATTTCAGAAAATAAAGTATTTCTTCACCAATATCAGAGAAAAAATCTTAGATTTACAGTCTAGGCCAATCTAATACTGATGGTAATCATTTCCTCTTGGCTGATTTAAGAACGCATGATGTACCAGCCACAAAGAACAGATGCAGAAGGTAGATATTTAACTCTCTTGACTAAATTATGAGATATGAGGAGCAGCAGACTTTTGCAGAAGACCTGGGCAATGAACTAGCAGCTCCAGCAAATTGTCTGCCTTAGCAGGAAAGCAAAGGCTTCATCATATGCATTGTTTTCTGCCCCATGGGGCAAGTCCCAGAATAAGGCAACACATGTTATAAATGGTATAAATGAAGGAAAACCTTAAAGGCTAAACTAATACACTTCACTACACAGCACTGACAAAGGAATAGCATCTGGGGAGATGGTATTTTCAGAAGTGCAGTAGGTCTGTGGCCACGATTTCCTTTCTCACGGTTCAGTCAATATTTTGGTGTGCAGAAGTACCTCCTTGCCAGCCTCAAGTCAAGACATCTGCTGGCACATCTGCCACAGGACAAGGGTTTTGTCAGACTTTCTCTGCTGCATGGTCTGTTTCCCCGGCGTCAGCCATGGAGGAGTGCTGCAAAAGGCATTCACTCCACCATCACCTCACTTGGCATCACCAGCCAGGACTGGATCCATGGCAACTCCAGCAACAAACTCTCCTGGAGTTCTGCAGTGACACTATGGGAAGAGGGGACCAATTAGGAATATAGATGAGAGACACCAGCAGGATGCTACTGGTATCAAACAACCCATCAGATCAATAGCCTGTGTTAAGCTGAATCCAGTAAAAATTCCTGGTGATAAAGTGTCTTGCTGTAGTGTAATACATTCATAAACCATTAGTACTGTGTAGAGAAATAATTCATTTACCTGGATGTATCGCACATAGCTGTCAAATATAAGCTGTTCTGAAGTGTGTGATGAACGTCCTATATTTGGAGAGGCAAGGGTAAATCATAAACTGCAGAAAATAACCTCTTCAATAAGTATTCACATATAATAGTCACTCCTTTTTTTTTTTTTTTTTGAAGCAACATTTAAAGTATTTATATGAAAAAAATTCAGTTCTCATTATAACGTATTTTGAGACATATTGGGCTATTAAAATACTTCATGCAGCTTCATGGGGAATGGTGATTCCCCATCCTTCCCCCAGATACATCTGGGAAATAGTTCTTTCAGAAGAAAACACACCGAAAATAAACACCAGTGCTTCTCCTAAGAGTCCTACAACACAGTTAGCACATGGCTCCACAGCTCTGACTTACCCACTGCAAAGTCAGAAACAGCAAGATTCAGAAAGAAATAGTTACTCCGATGCCTGAGGTTTCTGTCCATCATGAAAGCAAGGATCACCAGCATGTTTCCAAGGATGGTCACCAGACACAGCAGCACCATGAGGAAAGCCAGCAGCACCAACACACCCTGGGAGAACTCGGTGCTCGGAGGCTGGGTGGGCCAAGTCTCGTTACATGTCGCAGCCGCGTGCGGAATTTCAGCAGTGCAGTTGTGCATGGTGGCTGTCCAGGTCAGTCTGGGAAGGAAGTTGTATCAGGTAAAGTTATCCAAAAGGTTGAGACAAGTCTTTTAACAGGCTAGGCCGAATACTGAAACAATAAAAGAAAATATTCACAATGTGAAAAAAAATGGAAAGCAAGACTTTAAGACCTGGGCTCTCTGACACGTCTTGATCTGAATGCACCTATTGGCCTTAGAAAAGACACCTCATAATCAATGTCTTTCCTGGACATGAACCCTTATCTACTAATGTTAAAAAGGCTTGTCTGAAGATAACTATTTTTGAAGTCAAGCAGTTTGCATATTAGCAATGTGTAAGTGGTTTTGCACATCAAATTGTGCCGAAGCTAAAGCCACACTTCATTTTCACCTCCACAGTGGTGAACAGGATTAAAATTATTACAGTTCTATTTCACTTACATTAAAATGTAGACACTTTTCCACTTGCTGCTATAACACTTTTTAAATTTTAAACTTAATAACAGAGAGATATTTCTTAGTGTTGCTGGTTACAGAGCATTTGTAATACAGTTCCATGCTGCAGAAGCATCACCAATACCTCTTCAGCTCACCCTAAACAGAAGCTCTGGGCAGAACATACCAAATACTTGGACTTTGTGGCCCACCTAATCCTGCACCTCACAAGTAATCCTAGATAAAATTTTACTCCATGAAGTACCAAGCCTTTCAGCCTTTTCAGGAGTGATAAAAGATATCACTTCCTCATCACAACTCCATTTATTTTGGTGGGATTTGCACAGACACATGGCTGTGGCTGACACTCACTGACTGCAGCACCATGGCACACCGAGGGACCAGCATTTCAAACTGCAGCCAAAATGCCAGGTACTTGGGAAGATGTAGGGCAAGAAACGAGGAAAGAGAGGGTGGGCAAGATGTGGGGACAGAAAGATGCATTTCTCTGCTACCTTATTGAGGAACAAAGGGAATTATGTTGTAAAGAGTCATTAAAGCAAAAGGTGTAGGGTGACGGAAACAGAAGAGACCTCAGGAATGGCAAAATGTGGCAATAAGACACAGCTGCCTTAGGTGTGTGAGCACAGCTGCAGCCTGGGAAGCATAGAGGAGGTACTAGAGCTTCCTGTGCAGTCACTAAGCCACACTTAATGTCACACATAATGTCACACATGGGTGACATTATGGTGAGAGCACATTGCAGAGCTCAGGGTGAGGGAGGGGATGAAGTCTTCTTTAAGCAATTCAAGAAAGCTTCTGGACCACAGGACCTGCTTTTTATGTAGGACTTTAGTGTTCATGGCATCTGCTGGAAGTGCAACACATCAGGTCCTAGCAGTGAACAAGGTTCCTGGAGGCTGTTGGGGCAACTTTCAGACACAAGTCCTGTGTGGGCTAATGGGGGTGATGCACAGCTGAAACACCTGCTCAGTGGTAAAGAGTGCTGTGTGGGGATGTGCTATCGGTGTTAGACTCAGATGTAGTGATGATGAGGTAGTGAAACTCAAGATCCTAAAGGTGATGAGGAAGGAGAGTAGCAGTGGAGAGTAGATTTCTGTTTAGGAAAGTAGTAGTGGGAATCCCATGGGAGCAGATCCAAAAGACAAGGAGCTCAAGGAAGCTGCAGGCCTCTAAGGACAGCAACCTCCATGCACAAGAATAGTCCGTCCCAGTTCTTAAGAAAACAAGCAGATGTATCATAACTGGACACTACAATGCAGAAAGGCCACATGAAGAAGTTTGAAGGAGGGAGAAAACTAAAGGGAGATATTTAGAAATGTTGCCTGGCAACATAAGAATGATGTTAGGCAAACAAAAGCTCACCTAGAGTTGGTGTTTGTAAAGGACATCAAGGACAACATGAAGAACATCAGCCACTCCATAACAGCAAAATGGTGAATAATAAAAATATGGGTAGTTTGCTGGACGGGACCGGTGATCCAGTGACAGCAGGTGCAGATAAGGCTGAGGTACCCAGTGCTTCCTTAGCTTAATTCCTCACTAACTAGGTCTCCCTTTCCTCCATGCTTAGTGAATGAGTTCAAGGATGAGAACTGTCACAAGCAGGTGAGAATAAGGCAGGATTACTTGAGGGGACTTGACCCATAAAAGTCCATGGAACCTACTGTGCTATCAAGAGAACCAGCTACCACCTTTGCAAGGCCACTTTCTATCCTCTTAGAATGGTGGAGATAAAGGGAAGAGTCCCAACAAGTGAAGAAAGGTAAATGATTTTCAAATGCTGTCACAAGGACAAAATGTCAGATTGTCTTTAGTCTTTGGGAAAATAATGGATTGAGTCCCCTTGGAAGGTGTTTCTGAGGACCTGGAGGAGAAAACTGGGAACAGTCAGCATGGACCGATGTGGTAGATAGGGACAGGCGGAGCGGAAGATCACCGGGATGTCACGGAAAGACAGACCCCTTCCCCCCTCTCTCTTCCCCGCTTATCTGTTAACCCCAGGAGTCAGAGAAGAATGTAGCCACACCTGTTCTGGTAAAATTCCACTACCCACTATCCTCCGAGACCCCCAACCCCCCTCTGACGTAGCAAAGACCCCTAAACCTATTTAAACCCACGAAATAGGGTAATAAACGCTTTTCAACCGTCTGCCATATTGGTATCTGCGTGTGTTGATTAGCCCGAGTGGCTTGGACAAGACCAGGCCGCCGTGCTGCCATCTGAACCAGGCCCCTGGTTGTCTTTCATAAAGGCAACATACTGGTGCCGGAAACCCGGGACAAAAGAAGAAAAATTTGCCCGGCTGACGGGTTTCACCTGGACAGAAGCAGCGGCCAGGACGGTCGGACCGTACCCAGGCGTAAGGGGAGACGTCCCCTAGGATCCGCGGGCGTCATGGACGCAATGGCCAGGATCGTGAGTGCTATTTATTCACAGTGGGGTATTGGGTGTAAGCTCAAGGATTTTCATCTTGCCATGGCGAGATTGCTTGAGCTAGGGGCAATAGAGCGTCCCGTGGATGTATTACATCCGGAAATATGGGACAAATGCACTGCCGCGCTAGCCGAGGACACAAAATCCTCCGGCAGCGGCAGAAATCTTAAAGCATGGGGCAGAGTAGAAAAAGCCCTACGCAAAGCGATAGAAGAGCAGGAGACATGGACCGCGGTGCGCACGTGTTTATTAGTTACTCCTAAACTCGGCGTGGGGGCGGGGACGCAGACTGCCCCTGAGAGCGATCTGCCCGGCAGCGGGGACCCAGGGGGGCTCAGCGCGACACCCCCTCCCCCAGATCAGAGCCCACCCCCCCCCGCAGGAACCCCCCGCGACACCCCCGCCGCCGAAAATCCCCAAAAACCCCCCCCCGCTCATATCCCCCGAGAGACCGCAAATTCCTCCGAGCCGCCGCCGCCGCCCGCCCGCGATCCGATGCCGGAGACGCAAAAGCACGCGGAGCGCTTCTGGCAAGGGCTGCTAAAAGAAGCCCGAGCCGCCGAAACGGCGGTTTGGGAAGACGGCGCGGCCACGCCGCCTCCCTACCCGTTTGAACATGGCGCCGCGAGCGGCGGGGAGGGGCGGGGCTCGGGCGGTCCCGGCGCGAACACCCGGGGGGAGCGCGATCTCGGGAATGCGCGCGCGCGGGAGAAAGGGGCGGAGGGCGGCACGGGACACAGAGCCAATCGGCAGCTGCGCCGGGAGCCGCCACCATATAAGGGAGAAACCACCCCCCGCGAGGGGCGTGGCGAGCCGGGGGGGCGGGAGCGGCCCCTCCCCCGAGGGGGGGAGCGAGCCTGGGGCCGAACAAAACGGCGTGGAGCCCCGGAAGTGCACTGGCACTCGTCTTCCGGCTCGGAGACCAGCAACAGCTCTACCAGCTCAGGGGAGCTGACGGAAGCTAGCGATGGCTCCGATTCAGACGAAACGGAACCGGCACGGCTTGAAACAAAGCCGGGTAAAGCTCTAAGCCGCGCCGAAAAACAACTACAATACGAATCAGCCCAGTTTACTGACTGGGGGAAAATAAAGATAGCTTGTGCTGAATGGTCCCCAGCGGCAGCCATACAAGTCTTCCCAGTACGGCTTACCGGTCCGGAAGGGAACCAACAAAGGGTATATACCCCGATAAACCCAAAGGATATACAGGCAATTGTCAAAGCCATTGCGGAAAAAGGGATCAACTCGGCTATAGTTACTACGTTAATCGATGGTCTTTTTAGCAACGATGACTTGCTTCCCTTTGATATCGAACGGATAGGGCGTATGATATTAGACGGAGCGGGAATGATCGTCTTTAGGCAGGAATGGGAGGATAATTGTAGAAAGCAGCTAGCCCAGGCGTCCGGCGCGCGGCAGCCCCTGCATAGATCCAGCTTATCCAGACTGATAGGAAAGCATGATGATATGATCACGCCACAACAGCAAGCTGCACAGATGCAGGCTGAGGAGGTCAGAGCGACCACTCGGGCTGCCAGAGAGGCGATTCGCGCCGCCTCCCGAGTCGTGGCCAAGCCGGCACCGTGGTCCACCGTGAGGCAGGCAGAGAGCGAAAGCTTCACACAGTTCGTAGATCGCCTGCAGGCAGCGATAGACTCCTCTACCCTGCCGGCAGAGGCAAGGGGCCCCGTAGTGGCCGACTGCCTGCGCCAACAGTGCAACTCTGTTACTAAGGATATCTTACGCTCCCTGCCAGCCGGGGCTAGCCTGGCGGACATGATCAGACATGTAGTTAGGGAGGAACACCTGACGCCCATTCAGGCGGCCGTCCACACCCTGACCAATGCCATGGCGTGTTTCAAGTGCGGGGAGGCGGGTCACATCGCGGTGAGCTGCCCCCAGCTGGCACGGCGGCCCGCCGCAGCGCCTCCGCCCCAAACACGCCCACGGGGATCCTGCTGGGGCTGCGGGAGGAAGGGGCATCTGGCTAGGGAATGCAGGTCCCGGGCCCAGGGAAACGGAAAGGGGAGGGGGCCCGCGGGCCGCACCCAGCCTCCTCCCGCTGCGAATATGAGGCGGCCCATCCATGCCAACCCCCAATGGGGCGGGGAGCCCTCGTACCCCATTCTCCCACAGGAAGCAGCCAACTTCATACCTCTGCCAGCGAGTATCACGACACAGCCTGCGGCGCCTTCGTACCCACCGCCACCGCAAGCAGCGCCTGTGCCACAGGGTCAGCAGGGGGCGCCCCAGAACAGGACAACCCCTGGGTGGCCCTGGCCCTAAAAATAGGGAGGGAACCCCCGAAAATCTGGGGGACATGCCGCCTTTATGACAGTCAGGACCCCCACGTAATAGGGCTTCAGTTTTGGGCAGACACAGGAGCAGACTGCACAATCCTACCCCAAGCCCTGTGGCCCCGACACTGGCCGTACAAGGAAGTCCCCCCAGTGAACGGGGTGGGAGGGCTGTCCCGGGCTTGGAAAAGCACCCAATTGGTAGCTATAACGCTCCATACAAAGAAAGGACCAGAACAAACAGTAGCAATCCACCCCTATATCTTGCAAAACTCCCCACCCCTGATAGGAAGGGACGTTCTCGCCATGCTAGGAGTCAGGATTACAAATTTATGATGAGGGCCACTGCTGTGCACCCACTGCTGCCAATCAAACTGACTTGGAAATCACCAGACCCCGTATGGGTTGAGCAGTGGCCCCTGTCAAAGCCTCGAATGACAGCCTTGCTAGAACTAGTCGACCGCGAGCTACAAAAGGGCCACATCGAACCCTCCACCAGCCCGTGGAACACCCCTGTATTTGTAATCCCCAAGAGATCAGGAGAAGGCTACCGCCTCGTCCACGACCTGAGGGAAGTAAACAAGACAATTCAGCCCATGGGTCCAGTTCAGACACTACTGCCCGCGAACTCAGCCATCCCCAAAGGGCAGCCGTGCGCAGTGCTGGACATCAAAGACTGTTTCTTTTCAATACCCCTGCATGCCGAGGACAAAAAACGGTTCGCCTTCTCCATCGTGTTCCCGAACGGCGAGCGACCTAACCTCCGCTTCCAATGGAAGGTGCTACCTCAAGGCCTTGTGGACAGCCCGACCATATGCCAGATCACCGTGGACAGGGCACTGATGCCAGTCCGACACTCCCACCCTGCTGCGACCATCATTCAGTACATGGACGACATCCTCGTCGCCGCACCATCGGCAGGCCAAGTAGATCACCTAGTGTCCACGATCACGGAAACCCTCCAGGCCAACGGCTTCGAGATCGCGAACACGAAGATCAAGAGAGGACCGTGCGTGACCTTCCTGGGAGTGGGGATCACAAACTCCTACGTGACCCCACCCAAGATAAAAGTCCGCCGAGACATCAAGACCCTCCACGACATGCAACGACTCGTAGGATCTCTGCAGTGGCTCCGCAACATCATCCTAGTTCCGCCAGAGGTCATGGACCCCCTGTATGACCTCCTGAAAGGAAAACACCCGTGGGACCCCAAGGAGCTGACGCCGCAAGCAACAATATCCCTCGACTTCATCGAACGTCAGATGTCCACTAGCCTGCTTGCCAGGTGGAACCCGGGTGTACCACTGGACTTATACGTCCACTTCACGCAGAAGGGAGGAGTAGGAGCACTTGCCCAAGGACCTTCCGAAAAATCCCAGCCGATCCAGTGGGTGGTCCTCGGAAGACCAACTCACGCATTCTCCCCAGGAGTTGAGTGCATTGCTAACCTCATCACGAAAGGCAGGAGACTCGCCCTGAGACACCTGGGAACCGAGCCGGCAAGGATCCACCTCCCCTTTCGCAAGCGACCGACCACGGAGTCAACTGCAATATCGGAACACCTGGCCCTCGCTCTCACCGGCTTCGGAGGAGAAATCTCCTACGCCACCAAACCACCCTGGACCCAGCTACTGACCATTGTCGACATAGATGTGCCACCGAAGGTCATGGACCGACCGCAACCAGGACCAACGGTCTTCACAGACGCCTCCTCCATGACTTCTACCGCAGCAGCAGTGTGGCAGGCAGGAGAAACATGGCATTGCGTCAAAACGTGTGACCCCACGCTGTCAGTGCAACAGCTGGAAGCAGCAGCAGTGGTCTTGGCATGCGGACTTTTCCAGGACGAACACCTTAACATCGTGACAGACTCTATATTCGTGGCGAAGCTCTGCCTAGCCATGTCAAGACCAGGTGTGTCAACATCCACGACGGCCTCCATGCTTGAAGAGGCACTCTCCTCACGCCAGGGCACCGTGTCCGTCATCCACATCAACAGCCATAACCCAGTCAAGGGCTTCTTCCAGACTGGCAACGACAAAGCAGATGCCGCAGCGAAGGGAGTGTGGACACTGCAGGAAGCTCGTCAGCTGCACGAGTCACTCCACATAGGGGCCAAAGCACTGGCAAAAAGATGTGGGATCTCGACAGCAGACGCGAGGCACGTAGTGGCCACCTGCCCTCACTGCCAGAAGTCACCCCTATGGACCGGTGGAGTCAACCCGAGAGGCCTCAAGGCATCAGAAATCTGGCAGTCAGACTTCACCCTCTGCGAACTGCTGAAGCCCCGAGCATGGCTTGCAGTGACAGTGGACACCTACAGCGGAGTAATCATAGCGACACAGCATCTCAAACCCAACTCGAAGGCCACGATCCAGCACTGGCTGACAGTTATGGCATGGCTTGGTATCCCCAAGCAAATTAAAACTGACAATGCTTCCAATTTTATCTCTAAATCAGTGCGAGAATTCGCCTCGGTGTGGGGTATCACCTTAGCACAGGGAATCCCATATAACAGCACCGGACAGGCCATTGTCGAGCGAGCAAATCAGACCCTAAAAGCCAAGTTAGAAGTGTTGGCAAAGGCAGAGGGCTTTGCCAATTCCATCCCCTCAGGAGACCACACGCGCATGCTAGCAACCGCGCTGCTAGCACTGAACCAATTTCCTAGGGGAGATGAAGCAAACAGTCCCATTCGAAAACACTGGGCCACCCAGACACTAGAGGAGGGCCCACAGGTCATGGTCAAAAACGAGCTAGGCGAGTGGGAACGGGGCTGGAGACTGGTGCTTACGGGACGGGGGTACGCGGCAGTTAAAAAGGAGGGCAAGATCAGGTGGTGTCCACTCAGGTCGATCAAACCTGACCTTAAGAATGAAACTAATGGAAAACTGTGAGTTTTCGTTCGCAGGACACGCTCGTGGACCGTCCCCGCGACACACACACACCTGCTCCAGAGAGAGATAACGGACCACCAAGCCACCAGACAGAGCCTGAGCGTCCCACGGCGGTGAGACCCAGACTCGCACAGTGTCTCTGTGCAATCCTGCTGATGGGGTTTGTGGCCGGGGGGCAAGCCGACCCAGGCCACTACCCTCACCAGCCGTTCAGATGGGTCATGCAACATCTCTCAAGCGACAAGGTGTTCAAAGAGGTCACCACCGCAAACGCTCCATCCTTCGTATTCCACATAGCCGATCTGTTTCCAGGGCAACCGAAAATACGGCCCTCAAGCCCACACATCATACTCATGTACATATCCTATTGGTGCCCAGCGTCCAACCCAGGGAAAAGGTACTGTGACTACCCGGGATGGGGACATTGTGGGTATTGGGGTTGCGAAACCATTGTTACAGATGCCAGACCATGGGCAGACGGGTGGCAACCACAGGAGCCCGACAAATTCTTACAGTTCACCTGGGCACCCTTTGGCTGCGGAGACCACACTGCACAGCCTAGACAACGGGCATGCGTAAGTTATAACATGACTGTCCTACAGCCAGATCACCCTAGCTGGGCCACGGGTAGAACATGGACAGTGGTCCTTAAAGGACCGAGGAGGTGGGTGAATGTGAGAATTATCAGGCTCCAGCCGCCAACGCCTCGACCAGTGGGACCCAACAAAATTATCCGGAATGTGCTGAGAGGGAAAAACACAACCCACCTCAAAACCCTGACCCCAAAAGCCACTGACACCCCGACCAGCCTTGCAGATACCCCCCAGATAGGCCGCATGGCCGAGTCAGACCCAAACCCAATCTTTCGTATGCTAGAAGCTACCTTTTTAACCCTAAACGAAACCAAACCGAACCTAACTAACTCCTGTTGGCTTTGCTATGATATCAAACCCCCTTTTTATGAAGGCATTGCTTTGGACACCCCCTTCAGTTACTCCTCGGCCAGCGCCCCCCACCAGTGCAGATGGGACACTCCCCGCAGAGGAATCACCCTGAGTCAAATCACAGGACAGGGCAGATGTTTTGGGAATGCAACCTTAGCGAAGCAGAAAGGCAACTTCTGCACTAAAGTTGTCAAACCTAACAGAAAAACTAGCAAGTGGGTGATCCCATCTGCGTCTGGAATGTGGGTTTGCCAAAGGTCCGGAGTGAGTCCTTGTGTGTTCCTTGACAAATTCAATGACTCTACTGATTTCTGTGTCCAAGTTCTGATTGTCCCCAGGGTCTTGTACCACTCAGACGAAGAAATATACCATCTTCTCGAAGAACCTAACAGACTCCACAAAAGGGAAATCATCACAGGTATAACTATCGCAATGCTGCTCGGCCTGGGAGCAGCTGGCACCGCCACGGGCGTCTCAGCCATCGCAACCCAGCAACACGGACTCTCCCAGCTGCAAATGACCATCGACGAGGACCTGCAGAGGATCGAGAAATCCATCTCCTATCTAGAGAAATCAGTCTCTTCGCTTTCAGAAGTAGTTTTACAAAATAGGCGAGGTCTGGACCTTTTGTTCATGCAGCAGGGAGGACTGTGTGCAGCTTTGAAGGAGGAATGCTGCTTTTATGCAGATCATACAGGAGTTGTTAAAGACTCCATGGCAGAACTCCGAGACAGACTGGCTCAGAGAAAGAGAGACAGGGAGACCCAGCAGAGCTGGTTTGAATCCTGGTTCAATCAATCACCTTGGCTCACCACTTTAATTTCCGCCCTGGTAGGTCCACTGGCAATACTGCTTTTGGCTATTACCATAGGACCATGCCTGCTGAACAAACTAGTCTCGTTTGTTCAAGCCCGTCTGGAAAGGGCAAACATTCTGTTCATAGGCCACCAACAAATGCTATAAACCAAAAAACTGCAAACACAGTCAGTAGCTAAAGCCTTCAGCACCTGCCTTAAAAATCTACCCTGATCTACTAAACCACCCTTTCCTTAACAAGTTACAAGTCTGTACCTCACTCCAATGCCTCTATCTACAACTACCTCATTTTGTATGTGATAAGGAGGGGGGAGATGTGGTAGATAGGGACAGGCGGAGCGGAAGATCACCGGGATGTCACGGAAAGACAGACCCCTTCCCCCCTCTCTCTTCCCCGCTTATCTGTTAACCCCAGGAGTCAGAGAAGAATGTAGCCACACCTGTTCTGGTAAAATTCCACTACCCACTATCCTCCGAGACCCCCAACCCCCCTCTGACGTAGCAAAGACCCCTAAACCTATTTAAACCCACGAAATAGGATAATAAACGCTTTTCAACCGTCTGCCATATTGGTATCTGCGTGTGTTGATTAGCCCGAGTGGCTTGGACAAGACCAGGCCGCCGTGCTGCCATCTGAACCAGGCCCCTGGTTGTCTTTCATAAAGGCAACAGACCTACCATAGGTAAATCATACCTAAGCAACTTGCTTGTCTTCTTTGATAAAATTACTGGGTTAGTGGACAAGGGGAATGTAGTCATTCATTTTTATAATTAGGGAATAAATCAAATATTGAGTTATAATCATAGTTCTGTGTGGCACTCAGGGGGAAGTCTATGAGGTATTTCCTTTAGAAAATAAAGGACATGGACATTAGGAGATTCATTAGGGTTCAATGTTTGTTTCAGAAATAAACAAAAAAAAAGATAACACAATTTCTTCCAACATACAATTTTATTTGTTGAGTGTTTTTTTTTTTTTTTCTTTTAAATCTGAGAGGGTCAGATTAGAAAAAAACTGATGTGGTTTGAGCTGAAGCCCACAAAGTCATATAGCTACTGTCATCATGTATTTAGAAGGCCTACTGAATATCTGCAAAGACAAAAGAGAATTCAATGACATGAAATAGTGAATGGATGCATAATTGGTTAGAGAGACCTGGGTTAGAAAACCCTTTGTCAAGAAACATCCATTTGAGTGGGGGCATAAGAACAAATGCTGAATAAGTATCTTACCATAACCCTGAAAAATGACTGTTTTGTGATTTACAAGGGACAGTATTTAGGATGCCACCCTGACCCTGACCAAGACAGTGTTAAAGCTGTGGGCAGAGCAACCCAGTGCTTGACTTACCCTGGGAGCACTAAGCAAAGTTTTCAACAACAAATTCATCTCATACACAGGAGTGGTATGAGAAAACAGTTTGAACACTGTATGTGTAAAACAGACTCTAAACAACACTGATCTTTAGTAGCTTCACCATGCTATGTTGTTTCAAGTTCACTGCAGATTGTGCTGCCTGGCAAATTCCCTAATTAGTTTTCCAGCACTGCAATACATCGACTCAGTTTAGTCAATAATTTTGTAGGTTATTTTTCCAAAATTAACATTCTTCAAGTACAAAATGCAAAGTGAATATTTATACTAAAAGCATAGGGATAGAAAGCAGACAACCCAAATACATTTCTATCTTGGACTCATCTTCAGTTGCTCTGTTGAACAGATGTTTAGTACACCAGCTATTCTATAAATGTTTTAACTCTGTGAGTTTAGATTTTTTTCAAGCATCACAGAAAAACAAACCCCACAAAATCTGTGCCAGCACCACAGTAAAAACAGTAAAAACAGCTGAAGCTGCACCTCTCTTAGCAATTAGGCTCACAACTCATAACACTATCCACATGAGACAAGGAAGCATAGCGAGAATGAATGGTGAAAGATAACCTTCCAGCAGTGTGAAAACTGGCAAGAGAAGTCTTCAGTTCCAGACCTCTGAAGAGAAAAACATTCTACCTCCTCAAAGCCATCAACATTTGTGATATAATTAGGCTGCTTCCATGCATTAGAACTGTGTTTGCAAAGGAGTACTCTGTTATGGAAACACTACTACAGCCATTTTAAATTGGATTAAAAACTATTTATATTGACTACTGCTCTTCATTGTTCTGTGCATCAGATTTTCATACATTATTATATTTAAAAACAAGGAGGAATAAAATTACACAAAAGGAGAGAAAAAAAGGTAGCCAATGACTCTCACTTACCATGAAAGCCTTCTGGGTGAGTTGCAACACTCAACACAAGGTAAGAAAGTTTAGCAAATGGAATGGGGTGTAATCAAGCTCCATTGCTTCCTCCAAGACATCTGCTCACTCCTTTCAGCACTGGACATTCAACTTCTCTGTTAAGAGCTGCTTAAGACATCTCTGTATCAGCTTCCAGACCTCTGTAAACCTCATTCTCAAGCAGTGAACCTTGCTCCCCAATTGAAAAAAATCGAGTTTGATATTTGTTCTGTGGCAGAGAAAATCCATATAATGTCACAGTAACAGGACACAAAGAACTGTACTAGTATAAAAATCACTCTGTCAGATCAAATTTGTTCCAGACATTTTGATGGAATATCTTTGCACTTGCAAAGCTTTACATCAGAGAGGCTATTGTCTATTTTTGCACAGACAGCCAAAATCATAAATTCCGTATGAACTCAGCATTGCTTGCTCTGCTCATTCAACACGAATATGATCATGTGCTCAAGCCTGGCCTATCTTTTAGGCAATCACATAGTGCACAGATCTGGCACTAAATATCATTTAAGCATGACTGAAGAGGCAGCCACTGTCAGGTGAAAAAAACAGTACAAGTGAAAAGACTAACAACCACTTATGTTTGATAATTTTGATAACATATCTCAAAATTCTCATAGCATGGAAAATTTCATTCTCTGAAAATCATTCAGAATTACTAACTTAACTTTGTCCTGCAATCCCAGGTACAAAATACATTAAAACTTTAAAAGGACAGATATGGCAGGTTAGGCAGTCCGTTCACTTGCATATTGCTCACTGTGGCGATTATAACAAGGAGAGGGCACGCTTTTGTCTTCATAATAGTTTATGAAATGAAAATATACTGCTTCTGTGAGAATTTTTATAATCTTTTAAAAATGTAGCAGTATTGCTTCTTCACTGATAGCTTTAGGTTCATAAACAGGACATAAATTTTAATTCAACACATACATGAGCAGGTATCTCCCTCCAGAGACTCTCTATGGAGATAGCAAGAGCAGAGTTCTTTCACAGTGCCAGCTCTATGTATTAAACAAAGGAGAGAAAAAAAAAGAGAAAGAAAATAATATACCTCACACTCACAAACCAAGAGGACATCCAGCAAGGCTTATTATCATTTTCAATGTACAGACAGTAATTAATCTAACATCATACCAGCAAAACCAAAAATGAGATTCTGAAAATTAGCAACATCAGGGCAACTATATAATGCTGCTGCACTCTTAAACAATGTCATTAGTAAACAAATGGGTTTTTTCTCTATTCATGCCGACCATACATATGAAAAGGTATCACTAAATAACAGAGGAACCTTATCTGTAAGACATTTCTTTTACCCCTCTAAATAGAAGGCGTGTTACCAGATTTCAATGTTGCAAACTTTTTGAGACATAATATCTTCAGAAAAGCCATTCGAAACCTCATATGACAGAGAGGATAAAGAAATGGGTTCAAGGAGGAATTGATCCACAAAAGCCAAAAGGTTGCTTCATAGAGGGAGTTATGGATGCACTTTCCTTGGCAGACCCCGCGGATAATCATTAATAAAGAGTATGGGGCCCAGCAAATGGCAAACACACAGACAATTATGGCAAGAGACTTCGCTATTTTCTTGTCCCGCTGCAGTTTTGATCCAGTCCCTGAACAGAAACAAGCAGAAAAGTTCCTTTTGAGAGTTGTAGAATTGGTTTCTGTTTGAGATGGACCATTAGCCACCACTGGTGATCTCCATGGCCTTGTCAGTGATGAAACACTGTCCTCTGCTTCTGATGAAGGAGATGATGCCCCTGGCCTCAGCAAGCCACAAAACCTCCAGGACAGGCTGCTGCTCCTCGGAGGCTCGCAGTCCTGCACGCTGCCACGCCGCTGGCGCCTCTGGATGTTGTGGAAGATGTGCACGTTGAAGTAGGTCACCAAGAGCAGGGGCACAAAGAACTCCAGGGTAGAAGCACACAGGAGGAAGTACCAGTTGTTCAAGAACTCAGCGTAGCACTGATCCACCGCTACCACGCTGCGTCCGGCCACGTGCTCCCAAAACAGGATGGCTGGGCAGTACAGGAGAAATGCTAAGACCCAGATGGCCACCATCTTGATGGCAGAGCTGGACATTATTCCCTGCTGGGCTCTGTAAGATACCTACAAGTGAAAAAGGACATGTCACATATTCAGACCACATTTTGGGAAAAATTATGTCAAAAAACCATACATAATCAAGCCAAATGTAGTATTTGTTCTGCATTTCCCCAGACATCTAGAACATCTTCACTATGTAAGGTTCTGAAAAACTGCTAGTCTTGTTCTTGTTACATTGCTGCTCTGTGATTTAATACTGGACATAGGAGAGGAGCAGAAATTATGATGGCTAAATTATCATTTGGCTTCCAGGTATGAAAGGACAGCTTGTTTTCACCACACAGTAAAGTAGCAATAAAGAATTGGTAAGAAATAGGTTTATTGGTAAGAAATAGGTATTATTATTGGTAAGAAATAAGTATTATTCATCAGAAATAGGTATTATTCATCAGCCCAGGCTCAGCAGAGAGTGAAAGCAGCTGTGGGAGCTCCTACAAGCTCAGAAAAAGTAGAAGCCTTCTATATTAGACAGGTTGTCATGTGAAACTGCAAACACCAGACAATATAATTTTTCATAGTGTTTCCTCTTGCCATAGCAGAAAAATCTATCCCAGACATATACTATAACACCCTTTGCCTTATTGAATCACTCTATTTTAATGTTAGCCTTACCTTGTAAACAGTTCATTCCACTACTGAAAATCTTGATGGTTTTATGTCCACCCCACCCAGACAGCATATTAAGCATTAAAATAAAACCATCCAAGGTTAGGAAATACAAGAGCTAAGCCCACCCTGTAATAGGCCAGCTGTACTCTTGGTCCCCTCCATCTTTCATAGCACAAGAAGATAAGTTCATGAAAAGCTGGACAATTTTATTTTCACTGTACTGTTCAACATTTGGAATCTCAGGCTTTCCTCAGAACTGCTGCCTTCCTCATCATCTTCCTATACTGTTCATTAGAAGAGCACCTGCATGATACACAAATAATAATGAATGATGCCTTCACAGCCACACAGCACACAAAGGGCATTGCCTTTCACCAACAAGTATCAGAGCAATAGTTCAGGGTTATGCACATTGGTTTGGATTTTCTGTTTTAAATATGTGTAGCCTAAAGATTCAGACTCCTCTATGTCTTAAAGCATCATATTAGCTCCATGTACAGCTCCAGGTCTGCAGTAATTAATTTGCCAACCTGTGCAAGACATGCAGCTCAATTTAGAGGCAGAAAACAGGAAGCTGGGCACAGCTTCACAAATTGTTAAGTCTGAAGTGACTGGAAGTTGGACACAGGCTAGCTTTGCAGCAGAGGCAGAGGTGGATCCCAAGTCTATGAGGAAGCACGGTGTCTTTTCTTTGGATAACAGCCCTGTTACACATTTCTAGACTCACTCTATCCTAATACCCTAAAGAAGAAAACCAGACTGTGATCATGTAAATGAAGACCATCAGCAATGGCACAAGAACATGGATCTCAGCTAGGTTACTGAGGCCCTTTTAATTTACATTATTCTTATTCTGAGGTCTGCAGCTTCATTAATGTCTTAAATACAAGGATTCTTATACTTTACTCTTCAGCTTAAAAAAACCAAAAACCAAAAAATGAAACAACAAACTAGCAAAAACCAACTGTAAAAACCACACCACTAGGGAAGAAGAGAAAGTGATTAGGCATTGTATCAGCATCTTCCAAATGAAAACCTCCCAGTCTAATATGAAACATGTCATTGAAGCAAGCAGACTCATCAACGTGGAGAAGAGAAGGCTTTGGGGTGACCTGACTGCAGCCTTCCAGGATCTGAGGGGCAAGCAGAGATAGGACAAGGAGAAATAGCTTTAAACCAAAAGAGAGTAGGCTTAGATCAGATATTAGAAAGAAATTCTTTGCTACAAGGATGGTGAGGGCACTGGAACAGGTTGACCTGAGACACTGTGGATGCCCTATCCCTGGAAATGTTCAAGGCCAGGCTGGATGGGGCTCTGAGCAACCTGATCTAGTGGAAGATGTCCTTGCCCATGCCAGGGGGTTGGAACCGGATAATCTTTAAGATTTCTTCCAAACCATTCTTGGATTCTGGGACCAAACACCAAGTAAAACTTAGAAATGGTGAATCACAATATTTCTTATTTGATTCCTTGGATATCTTCTGAAACAGAAGAACAACAACCCTCGAGAAACATCCCTTACCTCTACAAATATTTTGATTAATTCTTCTTTTTGCTTCAAGAGATCAGTTTCCACTCAACTGCTCACTGTCAGCACATGTCAATCACCCCCTGCAGTAATTCAGATCCTCATCAAATCTTCACTCAGTCCATCTCATTGTGTCTCCAAATGCTCTTCTTAGTTAATTTATCCAAGCCTAAGCACATCCTTGACTCAACCTAGTTTTGATCACCACCAACTCTTCTAATGGCCAAAACCCAAGTTCTCCATATGGCTGCTCTTTCCCACTTGGACCTTCCCATCTCCTGTGTAGAGTAATTAAATAACTTCTAGTTTAGGTGGCACAAAGGTAACATTGAAATCACAGCAAGGCAGTGTCCTAAGTCCCAATGCAACATTGAAGCATCAATTCAATTTCTCTATTAAAAAATTGATTCAATGCAACATTGAAGCATCAATCAATTTCTCTATTAAAAAATGGTACCAATAACAAAGCACTATTTAGCTTAAAGTGTCAATTGTGAAACACTCTGAGTTTTATAGAAATCCCAACATATAAAAAGCAATAAATAGAAATGTTAGCCTTACCGCTTTTGTAACCGACAGGAAACGGTCGTAGCTGATAAGGACAATGTTAAACACTGAAGCTGTGCACACAAGATAGTCCATGACCAGCCAGAGCTTGCACAGGCTCCTTCCCAAGTGCCATGTCCCTGTCAGGGCGTAAGGGATGTACAATGGCATACAGAATGCACCTGTGAAAAGAAACCAAATGCACACGTCAGTCAGCATTGCACGGCATGAGAGCAGAGAAGTATTTCTGCAGTATCCAATAAAAGATTGATCAATACTGACTGGAATTGCCACATAGATGGTTTTGTATTATCCTGCAACCAAAGAACTTTTACTACAAAATAGGTACTAGTCACATTATTATAATTACTACCCCTCCGAAGGATGTATTTATTATGCATCATTGTTACCTCTCCAATTAACACCACCGGCTAAAAGAAGGAGCAGCTGACTGCTGTACCTTCTGTGTTATCTGCTGAAATTAAAACAAACAAAAACATCTTTCCTCCAATGTAATCCACTGTTTTCTATAACAAATTATCCAATTGCCATGCTTCCATCCTCTTAGAAGCACATGTGTCGGAAAATGTTCCAGAAGTTAACTTCTTACAGAAATACGAGTTTCAGACTAATTTTAAAAACTATATTATCAAAAGGCTGACAAGAACAGCACAGTTAATTAAATAAACCCAGCCTAACCTTTCTCCTCATCTTAAATTTTGATAATAACCACTTTCAGGGGTGAGCTGATAGGATGTTATCTATGGGAACTCACCAGACCGTGGGAACACAAGAGTAACCCACCCACACCACCCATTGCCACCTAAATTTAGGCTAAATCCAAATGTTATGAAAGTGCCAATATGACCTCATTTTAATGGATTTTGAGGTGATCACCCTACACAGAGTCACAACACAGCCTTGGGAGGCTGAAGAACTAATGGTGCAGTCAACTCAAGTGCAGAAATGCAGTGAACAGCATAAAGGCTGTAACAAAATGGAATTGCTGCATTTACAGAGCTATTAGCACTTTGTCTTTTGAGCAAAACATTATAGATTTTAATATCCACATTAGGACAAAATAATGTGATTTCAACTTTAGATTTATTACCTAATAGTGTGTACTCCTGTAAGAGTATCTTGAGAATTTCCATTGGCATAAAAATCTTACAGTTCCTGTTGTTCTCCCTCTACTAAGAATCAAGAGATCTCTATTCAAACCCAGCTATAGGTCCAGAAGCACAGACACAAAGCAAAAATTGCTGAATGTCAAAAGCAGCTAGATTGAATATGTTAAAATAAGCAAATTATTCTTCAAGCTTTTAGCAATTTAGATCAAGAAGAAAATAAGGATAATTTAGGCATACCCTGAATCTGAATTATATAGCTACAAAAATACAAATCAGTTTGACAGTAAACTCAAACCAAGGCAAAGGCAATGTTTTTAACACAATTTATAATTAAAAACTAGACATTCAGGTAAACATAATATCACAAAACAAAAATTTATGGAAAGTAGGTAATGCCAAGTAAGCTGTATTTCCTTCTTTTGCAGAGAATGTTATTTACTTTGTATTTCTCAGCTAGATGCTGGTGTTTGTTCAATATGATGCTAGATTGTGAGTCAGATGAGAGAACACCAGTTTGTACACTGGTTTCCTGCTCCTTGCTCTGTTTTTTTTCCAGTGCACTGTAATGGGAGAACAGGCAGCAAGAGCTCTGCAGCACAAGGCAGAAATAAGCTGGAAGACATCAAGCATATGATCAAAACAAGGTATAAAAACATTATACAAGGAGATGTGGACATCACAAGGATAGGACTATTAGGAACTGTGCCCCTGACAGAACTTCTGACACTAGCAAAAAAAATTTAAAAAAAGGTTCTTCTGCTCTTTCAGTATACTTCTTAAAAGTGTACTTAAAAAAAAAAAAATCATGATATGACAAGTCAGAACACCAATTTCATTAAATACCCACAGCTATTTAAAAACCATCCTCCTTTACACACTCAATTATTTAACCAAGGCTTTTAGCAAAGACACCAAACAATTCACAGAATATTGCAAGAGTTCAGTCTCCAGCTGAACATCACACTCCTGTTTTAATTGTGCTTTTTCTCAGTACAAGTTTCAAAACTAAATATGTCCCTATGTATAAATATACATGTAGCATCAAACTTATTAGAAATAGCTTTATTTGTAAGTTTTTGTTGCCTATACAAACACACATTCCTAAGGCATGACTCTATATAGAGCATGTACAGCAAAATGTCTAAAATAGCATTCGTTGCTATTTAGTCACAAATATCAGGTGATGATCTGTGTTGTGTGGTAACAGACTGAAATAGAAGATATTGACCAGGTATGCAAAAGCTGTCAGATAATACAGGCTTTATTTGAGTCGACTATCTAAATTTCGGCCAAAACTCTTCACAAACAACTTTCATTCTTTGTTAGTCCATAAAATTCACACAGTGGTATTTTATCCTGAAACATTAAACAGTACCTGCTTACCTAACAAAGCATCCTTTATTTTCTAAAAAATAATAGGCTGCTAAAACACTTCATGCCGCTTCTACCATTCCCCGTGCTTCCCCCAGATACAGCTGGGAAATAGTTCTCTCAGAAGAAAACACACCAAAAATAAACACCAGTGCTTCTCCTAAGAGTCCTGCAACACAGTTAGCACACGGCTCCACAGCTCTGACTTACCCACTGCAAAGTCAGAAACAGCAAGATTCAGAAAGAAATAGTTACTCCGATGCCTGAGGTTTCTGTCCATCATGAAAGCAAGGATCACCAGCATGTTTCCAAGGATGGTCACCAGACACAGCAGCACCATGAGGAAAGCCAGCAGCACCAACACACCCAGGGAGAACTCGGTGCTCGGAGGCTGGGTGGGCCACGTCTCATTACATGTCGCAGCCGCGTGCGGAATTTTGGCAGTGCAGTTGTGCATGGTGGCTGTCCAGGTCAGTCTGGGAAGGAAGTTGTATCAGGCAAAGTTATCCAAAAGGTTGAGATTTATAAGGAGTTAAAATAGGATGGGTCAAAAATCCAATAAGCACCAAAAAAAATTTTTCTCAAGAGGGGAAAAAATAAAAAGCTTGATGCTTGGTCAATCTAGCTTTCCTAAGATTCTCTTAAAGCAGAACTCTAGCAGAGTTCTGGTTAACAAATATAAAGGTTTTTCAAGCTCGTATTTTAAAATGCAAGTTCTTCTTTAAGCTACATGATCCTTATCTGTGGAGGTTGGGAGGGTTGATTTGAGGTTCCTTCTTGCTTTCTTCCCTCCCTTCCTGATGTGTTTTTCTTGCTAGCATTATATACAACTTCTTCTAGTTTTTTTTTTTTTTTCTTCAACCTGTGTACATATCTTAATGAGAATTTAAACTACTTTTTAATTTTATCCTTGTTTGTCTGACATAGTTGCAATTCAGCAAGCCTTTGGTCCCTCTCTATTTATATATTTATACCTTTTGCTGACGAAAGGCCTGGTCGACTTTGTTGTTGTTGCTGCTGTTGTTCTCCTTTTTGTGCACTCGGGGGGCTGAAATCTGATACGATGTAAATAAGTATACATACAGTTACTTACCAGAGCAGCTAACCTGCAATGGTCCAACCCTCAGAGATCAGTTCAAAACTCTCGTTGAAATCAGTTTCAAAAACCTTAGCAGCAGCTTCAGCAACACATCACCAGCTGCTGTTTCCTCAGAACCCAGGAACTCAATACAGACTCCCTGAATGAGAATGAGAGCTTGGCAATTAACTTTAACAGGATGAGGTTTTTCTTTCCACACTGGTGGAAAAAAATAATGTATTCCACAAATGCTTATATTTTGTATGAGTAATGAAGCCACTTGCAGAGAGCTGTGAGTATTCTACAGTTGTAAAAATTCAGTAATTTTTATCATGGGTTCTAAAACCAGTTTGGTGTCTAATTTTAAATACTTAAATTTGAAAAATGTTGGCTGTCATGTCTTTGCTTCTGTTGTCGGAACAAATTCATTAGTGTTTGCCAAGTGCTTTTACTGAATATTTGAATGGCAGTAGTACAAAAATACAAAACTTTATTATCCATGTAAGTATCTTCACAGCATGTACGTCCATCAGTGGTTTAGCTTTATTTTGTGTCCAGGTACTGCAGAAAACACACTATGGCAGTATTACTAAGTCATACCAGTGGTCTTTCTTCTGCTAGCTATACTGAAGCCCCAAAACAAAATTCAGCAGTTTCACGGTTGTTCATGAGAGCCAGCTGTCCTTGCCACATGGCTTAAATCTGAGTGCTTTCCAGGAGTATATAGCTGCCTAACTGTATTCCCCCTCCCTCCCTCAAAATTTCTCATTGGATTTTAGATCTAACTTGACTTATTGAATTCTTAAATACCTAACTCTTCAACACCATGCTTGGAAAGCCTGTGTGTTGCAAGGCATCTCCACATATGAAGTTCAATAGGAGATCCACTTCATTAGCTTTAAGCAGATTTTTTCGCCGTGCGTGGCTATGACAGGCTTAAATCAGTCTAGAACACATCTAGCTAGAAAAATGTTGAAGCAGCTACTAAACTGTTCCCATTTTTTACTGAAATAGACATGCTAGGCAATAAATGTATAGCAAAGATGAACACACCAAAAGGATCCACAAGTAGATGTCTCATCTTTATCTTCCTTCTTTCCCCCACATTAAGCACATATTAAACAGTAGAACCACATCCTGAATTACTTGCAATTTGAAGAAATTACTAACAGTCCAGAACTGGTATGCTGCTGTAAAAAAGACAATTATCTTCACTTTTAAAAGTTAAGATTTAAAGAATGTGACTTTTCATATTTAAGCATGGAAGATTTTCAGATGCATGCAGGACACTTAGAGGAAATGCCTGACAGTGAAACCACCAAGCAATTTTTCAGAAGACACTCAGCTAATGAAGTACCCCAGTCAGAGAGCAGATACAAACTTATGTCTGCTCATTTAGGTATGAGACAAAAAGGAAAAAGAAAATCATTCTGATACTACCTTGTAGGAAACTCTAATGCTGTAATGGCTAATCTGTGTTCAGCTGTACTCCTGATTCATTTTCAGAATAACAAAGAAAAACCAGGAAAATAAAAAGATACTACAACAGAGTAGCCAAAAATATAAAAGCCACTATCCACCCTTTCCTGGTTCTTTGCTGACATATTTTTATGACAGGCAACTGTACTTTGAGTGTAAATTAATTATATCATCCTTCTTTTTTTTTTTTCTTTTGCCAGGTAATGAAATTTGCAACTCTTCCACAAGTGAGCAGTATGTCTTAAAAACCTTACAGTATTTGATAATAAAAATGGTTAAAACTGCTGCTTCAATTTAACATTAAAAATAATGTCTTGGCAGAATTTTAAAAGTTAAGAGTTGTTGTCAGACATTTTTGTAATCTCTTTCTCTTGTTGTTTCTACTTCTTAGAATACAGGAAGTTTAAACTTAGAAAATGCTTGCAAACTAAAATAGGAAGGGACTGGAACTTCTCTAACCAAAAGTGTCCACAAGACAGACAGTACTTCATGCTCTCTCTGAAAGAAATTGTGTGAAAATAAGAATACATTTCCACTCTGATGGTCCATTTTCAGACATTTTAAAGGATAGGGGATTCATTTTGCTCTGACTGTATGGTCTATTTCACTGGTTCCTTTAATTATGCAACATGAAATTCTCATATTTTCAACACGCTCCTGGTGTGCCAACCATCCTCACAGAAATTCTGCAGTAGTTTAATCACTTTTCTTAGCTCATTACTCACATTCAGTCTTCCATATGTCACCAAGAAGCCTCTATCTACCACCTGATCAGGAATTGCACAGGCAGGACCAGGCACTCCAAACACCACACTCAATCCCATGCTTTCCTTTCTCAAAAGAATATTTGAAACTTTGTGACTTGGTCTATGAATGACTCTAGTCCCACTCTCAGTACCAAGAAACTACAGATACAAGACATGTATTTGAATCTAGGAATGAAGAAGATGAGAAATCCATGTTTTCAATTAGTCAACTGTTGTTTGGTGGGAAGGGGTGGGATGGAGCAATGGTTTCAGATGCTGCACTGTCCTCATAACAAGGAGCTCACATGTGTAAGAAACAGAAAACTTGTGTCTAAGTTCTACTTCAGAACAGCAGAAAAAATCACAAAACAAGATGAAAATATATCTATGGCTTTAATGAATTATTTTCCAAATACAACATGTCCATTCTATGATATAAAGCAATAAGATCCAGGACTTTTTTTGTATAAATATGTGCAAAATAATTGTTTAAAGTTTTTAAAAAATAAATTAGTGCTCTGTTCTCTTCTTGTTTTCCTTCCTTATCTTTTTGCTCTTTCCAGTTTGTCTAGAAGATTCTTCCTGAAATGAAAAAACATGCATTGAAAAATTTAAAAGTATTCCTGTAAACCACAAGTATTCTCCCAAGGTTACCTATGAGAATTATTTTTAATATGAACAGTAGTCATATTTCACAGAGATTTATGAAAATTTGGACATGTTTATCCATTCACACAGGTTGTATTACTTTTTTTCTGGCTTCATCCAACAGTGGAAAGTCACACAAGTTCACATGCAAATGTCTCCATTCTGGAGGGATGGAACATACCGTTGATGGTACATAGTCGTACTCTACAAGTACATTTCTTGCACAATTGTTTATGTGTTTGAAACGATCTGGTCCCAAGAGAATACCTCCATACCAGCGGGACACCACAACTAACACATTGTGGACGTTCAAAATCTGTGAATACAAGAAAGCAATATTAGCTGTTATATTTTAATTGAACCTGGTTTTACTGCTGACACCAACTGGAAATATAAAAAAGGTCTACTATCTTTTATTTTAAAAATTTGAGTTACATTTCTTATTCTTTGGTTTGATCAATTATTACTCTTGTCACTAAGCTGATTGTCTATTCACATTTTTGGAAGTGTTGGTGGATGAGGCTAATAACAGCCATGCCACAGGCATTATACATATGGATATATGTATATCCATATGTATAATGCCATACGCTAGTGCTGTTAATATGTGCATGTTAACAACCATTAATAATGCATGCTAAGGAGAAAAAAACAGATATCTGACTAATTTGAACAATACTTTCAGAAGAGTCAATCATTGTTTGTGAAAACAGAAATATTCTTAGAATTTTAAAATTAAATGGACTAGGGCCATGTTCTGTGACAGGAATTTTCTACTCTACATTTATGTATTGGCCATAAAGTATATGTATAACAACTCCTGGAGGTAAACAGGATGGTACTATTCTAAAATACAGTTTCTTGTAACCAGAAAGTACTATTTTGAAATGCTGGTCTTACCTGAAACAAGATTAATTTCTATTAAAAAAGAAAAAAAAAAGGAAAACAACAACAACAGAAAAAACAACCCTGTAAATTCAGCACCAATAAATGTTTTAAATCCCTTATTTTCCATACCCATACATCATAAGAACTCGAAAAAACTACAAGACCTATGAACATCCAGAAATCAGCCCATACACTACTTCAGTATTTTCCTATGGCTGAAAATTGAGCTTTTCTGATTCTTATTTTACTGTTCTTCCAAAACTGAAATATTCCCTGTAACTAGGATTACAGATGGAGAATGATGATCCATACAATTTACAGACATTCACATTTGAAAGTGACATTCATGTCATTTTCTGAACTGGATTTTTATGGAATATTAAGTGCCTAGACAACTTTCAAAAGTATGCACTAATACACTGAGAAAAAGCTGATAATCTCAGAACAAACTGAGATTATCAGTAACTGCCAAAATGTATCTTTACATTATTTCCATAACACCTTCACACTTAGCACATATACTTGCATATATTACATAACCTAAGTTCATTTATTTATTTAACCTCCCCAAGTCTGGTTTGAGTTATTTAGGAAGTTTGAAAAAATTAAAAATTAAAAATGTCAAAATGTTTCCATCAACTACCTTTTTTTTTTTTTTAGAAAAAAAAAAGAAATTTCAGGGGGGAAGAAATGTTACCAGGAATAAGAGTGCAATATACTAAGCAAAAGAATATTCAAACAAGAAAAGGACAGGAAAATAAAACTCCTGCTGTGAAGGGAACATCAATCTAACATAAAAATGAATATTTTGTCTGCTCACAAAGCGAAGTGACTTGAGGAACAGTATTAAGACACACCCAGCTGTCTCCTGTAGTTGTGCTACTTTAATTATGGTCTTACTAGGGCTTGTATAATGAACCAAAATTTATCCATCTCAACTCAGTCACATTTAGTAGCACTTCTGCCAAATATTATTTCAACACTTGAAGACTAAAATATATGTGAGTATAGTAACACATGAGTATGAGGGCTAAGGACCAAGAACAAGAAACAGCACAACAAAACAGACTAACTGATCAAAACAGCTTAGCTTCTTCAATCCTTTTGTATTTGAAGTTCCACTCTGCAAGTTAATTTATCGGTGTCTGTTTATTACGCCTACTCAAGGGAACCACATGAAAGGTTGTGCACAGGTCAGCTGTTATATTGTGACAGTCAGCTTCTCCCAGTATTCATTTTCTGTGTACCTCATACCACACAGGAAGCACAGCATTTAAAACTTAGTTATATTTTAAGCCATTCAAACTATTACTGCCACCCATGAAACATCACTTGTTTCTATGACCCAAGACTTGAAAGTGCTACAGTCTGTGTTTTTCCTTTCACCTTGAGAATGCAATCATCTGGCAGGCTGCTAGCAGAGCAAAAATTAAAATCATCTTCTACAAGCTTATTTACATTGTAGTGATTTTTAAAATAAATACAAATTCAAGATTTCTAAAAGCCAAAGATTAATTTCTACAACCTGCATAAGATGGAGAAGACGTCCACCTGCTGCTGTCTCTCCATCATCTTCACAATCCTGTAGGAACGTCTGCTTATCTTCACAGTATATTCTACACAAGAAAAAAAAAAAATAGATTTAAAAATGTCAATCAATTAATATTTCTACATGATTAATAAAGTCTCATATCTTTCATACATGTGTATTAATTCTAATTCTCTATTACATATATTTCCATGAAAATAGGATGAGGCATAGGGTAAACCACATTTATTTGTATAGTAGAAAAAGTTTTGAGAAGCTTTTACACAGACTTTAGCTACTTCAAGTAAACTCCAGTCATTACCAGTTTAAAGTCCATAAACCAAAAAATACCAAGGTTTTTAGCCTAATAATTGCATCTAGCTGAAACCAACTCTACTAGATACAGATTCAAATAATGCTATACCCCTAAAAGAAGAACTTGGACAAAAATATTATTAATAATTAATTATGTCTGTATTTCAGCAGCAACTGAAACAACATCAATCTAAAATAAAAATGGATTACTTGTCTGAAACTATTTTGTATGAAACTATTACTGAAATTTGCCCTTGGATTCTCCATGTCATCTCCCTCCTCAGGAGGCACTGCACTAAACTTTTGGGTATGTTGTTTCATAAAAAAGACAGCTGCCCAGGCCTAATTTTCCATAAGTCATGCTCAGAGGTCTACTGACCAATAAGTTGGTTTGTTACCAACTTATTTCCTATCTTCTGAACTTAGTTAGAGGTGACACAATGAGAAAGAGGCTTCTAGTACTAGATGACAAAGACGAAGCAGTAAGTATGTGCTTGTTCCTTTTTTTTCTTTTTTTTTAATGTGGATTTGGATAATACGAGCGAAGGAAGCCAGATCATCATCTGTGAGAACAAAAATGCCCTCTTTACAGAAACTTTTTACTTAGGTAGAAGCTTTTACTTTTTGGTAAAATAAGCTTTCACTTGCTCTCATTTCATGTTTCATTAGGATCACAGCAGGATGGGCATGAATAGATAAGCCTCTGTACATGCTTTTTTAGATAACTGGTTCCTACAGTTCCTCCCTTTTACTGTCACTTACATTCCTCAGAAAACCTACACTGCTGTCTGGACTGAGATCAATTCATTTAATAAGCTATGTTCACAAAAGTTGCTAGAGGCAGGTGACTGCCAAACTCATTTTTACCTGTTTCTCACAATCCCTGATGTTTCTTGTATTTCAGCTGAAACTTCATATGCCAGATATCTGCATCAGCCTTTCTGATCCGACTCTTATTTCAACTGAACATTTTCAGCTATTTCTAAATATAAGGTTGGGGGGAAAAGAAGTTACTTCACCCAAATAAAAACACATTTAGTTCAGGATGATGTAACATCTCCATGCTCAGACATACTACAAAAGTATACTGACACATGTTCAAATCCACTTTTTCTTTCTATTCCTAATGCTGCTCCACTATCTTATTTCCTACTGTATGTCCTACTTTCTGGACCTCAAATACAAAGTAAAACCTGCAACACCAAGCATACAAATAAGAAACCTACTCCCTAAAGCAAGGAATTTCTTTTAATAGCAAGGAATTTAATAGGAAGGAATTTCTTTCTCATGTCCTGCACTCATTTGTGAAAGAACACTAAAAAGAAGAATGAAAAATCACTGTTTTTATCTCACCTGTATGCATATATGTTGTGAGTAGCACTTGCAATTTTCTTATTCTCATATAATTTTTCAAGAACTCTTTTAACCTATAAAAAACAACAGAAAAACCTTCCTTTTATAACAGGAGTTTCATACACCCCTCTCAATATCACTGTTAAACAAACATCTCTCTAATACAACAATGAAACAATGTTATGCTTTGACATAAAACGTTTGGTAACTCAAGAAGCAGCTTCTCAGTATTCTCATACTTGTTTTAAACAGTTTTCCTGGGATACTGAAAACAGCTTTTCCATTCAATTTCTACATTGTGTACATTCATATTATTGCTCAAGATTAGAAGTGTCACATTGCTTTATTCAACAAGAGACAGTAAGACCTAGAAAATATGTTTAGTTAGTATTAAGTATCAACTGCACCTGCTTACTTTTTTTAACAATAAAGTTAAGCTGGAATAGAACACAACATAAATATTCCCACTACACACTGCTTTTACTTATTTCACAAA